TCCTTTTCTCCGGACGGAGGTTTCAAACAGCTGGCTGGTAAAATGGTCATTTACTGAACCCGACTTCTAAAGGTCTAATCTATAACAAGACTAAAGTGGATGAAGTTAACTATTTTAAACAACCTAAATATGCAAATGCGTTTACAGTAGTCCCTCATTTATCACAGGGGATCCGTATCCTGAAGCCCCGTGATAAGAGAAAAACTGCAAAGTAGGAATAGTAGTACAAGTTGTAAGTAGTACTTTATATATATATATATACAGGTATACGTTTTAAAACCTTCCCACACTCTTGCAATATTCTAAACAATGTTTCTAAACTCTAAACGCTCTAAGAGAGCACAGAATGTCATGATTTCAGCTCTCTGCCTCCGGCTGCTCTCTGCCACCTTGGCCACGCCCACTTCTCCGCAGCTGTGGGCTGCACACAGACCTGTGCACCTAGGGACTCCTGCACAGTATTCAGAAAATATTCATATTTTCTTGACAAATATTCATTTGCAATATGCAAATGCAAATAACCTATTTAAAACAATTCTAAACTATTTTATTTTTATATACTGTTTGAGATTGTTAATTATTTTTATCTATCCATCCATTATCTTTTACTCGGTTTTTCATTTTTTTTGGGTCATGGGGGGTCACTGGGAGAAAACCAATGCATGCAGGGAGAGAACAAACTCCACCCAGAAAGGCCCTTGGACTGGGATTTGAACTGCTGACCTTCTCACTGAGAGGCAACAGCTCTACCAACTGCACCACCGTGCTGCTTCATTATCATCGTTATTATTTTTTTTAGCTAAGATGAGATCCCAAAGCTGGTGTGGATTAGCAAATGACTTCAAGAAGCTTTCACCAGGATTCCAACCATTACTGAGTACACAGTCCTTATCAGCAGACGCTTATCTCAGAGTGAAAACAGAACCGAAGAGGAAAGCTCTGCTTCCTCTCCTTGTACAGCATTAGTGCCGTTACTTAAAACACGTAAGCTAATGTTAAAATGGTCACGAGGATAAAACGCTGTTCTTAGTGCACAGATAAAAGGAAGCATTACTGGATCAGAGCGAGTGCAGGCTGGGAGGAAGAGCAGTATCTCTTAAAGAGAACTACTAATGTAGTTTTCTCTCTCTGCTTAGAAATCTATACAGCAGAAGTAAATGCCTTTTGAATCCTGAACAAAAACAAAGATGCACCAAATGTATTTGGGGGGTTTTGAATGAAGGATGATCACAGGCTGACCTGTTTCTATGAATAAAAATAGAAAAAATATTTAATCTTCTTCTCTTTGTTGGGCCCTGTTAGGCTCTATGTAAGCTCTTCTGTTTTTCTATTAAGGGATCCAACTTTCCAGCAGATAAAATTGCTCGTCAGCCAATGTTTATGTAGAAAGTTTGGATCTTTTTAAGTGGGACTCTGTGGTCAGTCAGTGTCTTACCTGCAGCAGACAGCAGTCAGATTGAAATCAGTCTCCAAGTAACCTAAACTAATCAAAGTCCATGCTCAATAATCCAGGTAGAAAATCCAACAAAGTTCAGTCAGGTCATCTGGATGGTTTCTTTTTTTTTTGTCGAGATGCTTCATCCTTCTTCCAAAGGACTTCATCAGTCCAAGGAGCCACAACAAACTCAGTCCCAAAACCAGCACACTCACATAGTGGGCCAACTAGTTTTCTGGCTATGGCTGCCTCAGAGGGAGAGGGTGGGCCCCAGAAACCATCTTATCACCAGCAAACAGGTTGGTCCACTATGTGAGTGTGCTGCTTGTGGGACTGACTTTGTTGTGGCTCCTCGGACTGATGAAGTCCTTTGGATGAAAGACAAAACGTCTCCAAAAAAGAAAATAAACTGTCCAGGTGACCTGATTGAACTTTGTCGAACCTAAACTAATCTAAGACACATTTAATACACCAATGAAGGATTAACCAAAACATCAAAACTGACAAAAAGGCTAAACCTTAACAGGTCTGGCTGTTGTCTGCTGCAGGTAAGACACTGATTTCCTGCTACTTGGTGCCAAACATCAGATACTTGTATAAAGTTTCACAGTCTGCTTCTGTAGAAAAGCACGCCGTTGAAAAAGTAAAGCCAAAATGTTGGGCAGAAATTAGTTTCATCATTTTGTGTTTTAATACGTGACGTTTTTTTAACGTATTTAAATATTATTTAATAAAACTGCGAGGCTGTGACATAAAGATGAAATTTTAATGAGATTCGACCGCCGCCCTGCCTTGCTAACCTCAGCAAGCATGTCACGGTTTCACCGAGGACATCCTACTGAGACGCAGGAGCAGCATTAGACTTGTAGATCAGAAAGGGGGGGGCTCACTTTCTGTGGCTCATAATTTAATGGATTCCTGATCTCTACCAGCGCAGGAAGAACAAAAACAGTAAGGAGAGTCGGAGTTAAGACAAAAGATGGGACATGATAGAGTTTTTTATCCTACACATCAGTGCCAAACACAAACCTTGGAGACAGATACTTGAGAGTAGAAACACGAACTTAATCAAACCCACAGGAGGAAAATAAAAAGGTTATCACTTCATTACTCTTTGCTGCCTCACCCGATCAGTTTATCAGACCTCTCATCTTTTCTCCTTTGTCTTTAGTCGACCGCTTTCGCATCTTTTTAAACAGTGAGAAGTAAAACACCCAACGTTTTTCTCTTTTCTCCTGTTTCACAGAAACATCTAAAGCACACCTCGCCTCCATCGCCTCCTAAAGGTTGTGTTAGAGAAAATAAAGCATCTTAAAAAGACGAACTGTCTAAAATACATTTAGTTCGTGCCCCGTGAGGTCGGAGGGTGGCGTGGCTCGTCCAGTCTCATTAACTTCAAACCATATTTATGAAGGTTTTTCTGCTGCTGGTGATTGTTGATCGGCACTGACCGGGAGGGTACACTCAGGGCCTTCAAAGAATTCAGAGAAGGCCTAAAAAGTCAGCACATTTGAAATGTTACAATCATTTTTTAAATTTATGTGTTTAATTAAATGTGGGTTTTTATTGTGTGTATTTTTCCTAAACAGGAAGTTGGTACCACCAGTCCTTCCTTCTAATCTTTTCTACGAACGGTGTTCCTACTGAGTTTGTCGATTCTTACAAATACTTGGGAATCTTAGTCGATTCACATCCGTCTCTCTTTTAAGCCTCATGTCGAAAACTTGATAAAGAACATTGAAAGTTAAACTGGGTTTCTTTTCCAGAAATACAGTAGATCCTGTTTAACTCTGAATGCTAGGAAACTCCTTGTAACTGCTTCTTTCCTTCCCTCCATTGATTACGGTGACATTATTTACATGAACGCTCCTACAAGCACCTGCAGATGTTGGACGCTGTCTATCATGGTGCACTAAGATTCATAACTGGCTGTAACTACCGTACCCTCCACTGCACCCAGTATTCACTGGATAACTGGTCATCATTAACTTCACGCAGACTCTCTCACTGGTACATTTTCATTTTTGAATCACTTCTTGGTCTGCTGCTTTCGTACATCTCCTCCCGTGTCCTGTCGTCAGTGCAGCTACAGCGTGCGCTCTCAGGACATCATTACCTGCAGTGTCCCCTCAGTGCAGACTGAACTTGGCTAAAGGGCCTTCTCCTACTGCGCTCCTGTTTCCTGGAACACCTCGCAAAAAGGATCCCAAGTTGTCGACTTTGACCTCTCTAAGGGATTTTAAACAACTGCAGGCACGTTCCTGTTTTTACTGTTTTACCTCGTTTCATAATGTAGCTTGATTTTATTTAGGTAGTTTTATATCGCTACTTTTATTTGCTTTTTATTTTGTATGCATTTTATGGCTGTTTATTCTTGTCTGCACCTCATTTGTGTTTTGTCTGAAACAGTCCCTTTTGTAAATGAGTCCGCGTGACTCAATGAGACTAACCTGCACAAATAAAGGTTGAATGAAAAAAAGAATATAGCCAGTCTGTTCCTGTACAGTCAGACGCTGATGACGTCACACATCAGAGCATTAACAGTTCTTAAATCCAAGAGAAGAGCTAGAGCATCTTGGCTTCGCTGTACCTACGGGTTTTAAAACATGGAAGTTTATGTTTTTTTGTAATCTTCCTTATGCTGTAAATCTTTTTCCTTGCCCTCGCGTTCAACCTGCGGGGATCAGAGCATAACCGTCCATGGATGGAAAAACGAGCAAACGATTTAACCCTCGGATGAATTTTAAGGATTCCTGCAAACGTTCGGCTCAGAATTCACAATAACTTGTGCGCTGTAGCGGCGTGTGACACAAAGATAAAAGGAGCAGCGACTGCGGGAATTTAAAGTCACTCCATTTGTTTCCTTCTGCTCCATCTCCAACTTCTCCTCCCTCCTGTTAACCTACTGATCCTCTGTTCTCCCAGCAGTCCCATTATTTATCTGCTCATGGCTCATTAACGTTTAAACAGCAGGCAAAAAGAAAGAAGGAAACGGAGTGTTTACGAGGGCTGTGTCTCGTCAGCAGTAATAAATGGACATTTTATGATGAGAGCTGGATGAAAGCATGGGATCCAAGTCAGGCAGGGTCTGTTTTATTATTCTGGAATGATAAATGTGAATAAACATGCAAAGAAATATGAACATATGCTTTGTTATGAGGCTTAAGCACAAATGAGAGACCGAGGTTTAAAGCAAGTCCTCAAAATAACTTTTAAAAAAAAGCAACGTATTTCTCACCCACGGTTTTTGTGTGACTTTTTTAAAATTATGTCTATGTCAGATTCTTTAGTGCAAACACGTTTTTAAAGGTTTTCAAATGAGCCTGAAGTCCTGATGTGGAATTTATTGGATTTTGCTTCCATCTAGTGGCAACAAAATAAAAGCGCGGCGCATCTATTCACAATGTCTTCTTTTTCAGGTGTGTCGTTCATTCATTCAACCTTTATTTATACAGGTTAATCCCACTGAGCCTCGGAGACGCATTTACAAGAGAGACCTGGTATCATGGTACGGTGTCAGAACAAATCAACTGAGAGTGAGCGTTGGTTCTCTGTGTGTGTACAGACTCTTTAATGCTGGGGACAGAGGTCGACCTGCAGCAGGTAGAGAACAGCGTGTTCGCCGTGGAGACCGTGTTGAAGGCGTGGCTTCAGGAGCAGGGAGGAGACCGAGAGCATCTGCACCTCCTGCTGCCAAGCCCTTCTGATTCTCTAGTTCCAGGTGGGCACAATGAAACACACGCACGCACCGAAACAGAACTTTATTCAAATGTACTCAAACTACGCTCTTCTCTGCGCAGTGTGTGTGAAGTGTGACATGCAGGAGCGTCTGATAAGCCCCGCCCTCATCCCGCTGAGCCCCAGCCTGGGCGTGAAGACTGAGAGCCTTCGAGACTTCCTGCCTGTCATTAAGAGCAACCAAACTCCAGCTCCTCAGAGGCTGAGGGCCATCAAGTAAGAGGAGGAGGCATCGATGTGATGATGCAGCTCGTTCCACAATTTTTGTGCTATTTCAACAAATTCATTTATCAAAACGTTCAGCTCATTCAGGATAATCCTGCTAGGACTTTTGGTATTGGTGCAACTTTAGCTTTTTTAAATATTTAGCCTTTTCTGCCATTTTTTACTCATAGAAAAGGAACTGAGCTCATTTTACATCCCTCAAATCTTTCGATGTGTTTACAAGCTTTTACTGCTCCTTTCACATTTTGTTGTGCTTCAGCTTCTTTCAGCTTCCATGTACAAATTTTAAACCTTTTTCAGCTACTTTCATCTAATTTCAGCTGTTTTGTGATCCTTTCAGATTATTTCTGCTAACTAGAAGATTTTTGTGCTTCTTCTAACTTCGTTATGCTCCTTTCAGCTTGTTTATGCAAATTTCAGCTATTTCAGCTACCTTTTTAACATTTTTCAGCTGTTTTTAGATACGTTCAACTTTATCATGGTATTTTTTGCTATGTTAAGCCTAATTACTTTCTTTATGCTAATTTCAGCTTTCAGTTTTTTCTGCTATTTAGCAGTTTTTATGTTAATTTTAGCTTTTTCATCTAATTCCACTTTTTTTTTTAGCTCATTTCAGCTCTTACCGCTGGTAGTTTAAGCTTCTTTCTGTCTTTTCACCTATTTTTCAGCTGTTCTTTTTGTCTCTCCCAGTTTCAGCTTTTTTCAGATACTTTCCAATTTCTTGTGCTCATTTCTGCTTGCTTCAGCCTAAATGGTCAAATGTGTGTTCTTTCTGCTTTCTTGTGCTAATTTAAGCTTGTTCTACTTTTTCAGCAACCTTTTTAGCATTTTGTTTTAGCTAATTTCAGCTGTTTTCAGATTAATTAAAAATTTTCATGGTAATTTTTGTTTCTTTCACCCTAATTAATGCTAATTTCAGCTTATGTTCATTTTAGCTTTTTCTGCTAGTTTCAACTTTTTCTGCTATTTCGGTTACTTTTCAGCTATATTTTGTTAATTTCAACTTTTTTGGCTAATTTCGTAATTTTTTATGCATATTTCTTATTATTTAAACCTAATTCAGCAAATATGTGTTCTTGTTTCTTCTGCTAACTTGGGCTTGTATTCCATTTCATCTACAATCAGCATGCTTTGTAGCTAATTTCAGCTGTTTTTCAGCAAGTTCTTCACCAATAAGCATTCACACTGCATTTTTGTGTTTACCTTCCAAAGTGGTCACGAACAGATGGCAGCATTAACTTATTCGTACATGTGAAGTGAATGCTCTTGTTTCCATCTTTTCAGTCCCGTCCTGGTTGTTTTTTAGTTCACTGAAGCTGAGGGGGAGCCGTGTGCGTGCTCTCCAATGACTTTCCAGTAAAGTCTCTGCCGTCCATGAATAGCTCCTTTCTGACTGGACAGCAGTGAAGCATCTCATGGATGAAACTCTTCATTCACATCAGAGGATGCTTTGTTCCACTCCGATGCTCAAAAATATCTCCAAAACTACAGACGAATAAAGAAAAACGCCTAAAAAGAACTCTTCTTACGTTGCTTATAGCTGTTAATATATTGATAAATCTACAAAGATATTGAAAGATGACTCGTGATTCCCAGCGCTGACGTTTAATTAACGCTTCCAACTTGGCAGGGACGATGTTTTCATCTGTGGCCCTGCTCGTGATGTCACGTTTACATTTTGAGCACTTTCTGCTGAGGAAAGTTTATTTTCACGCTTGTTTTCTCTCCGTTGTTCCTGCTCTAACTACAGTTGTGTGTTGAAGGGTGCTGCACGCAGACGGAGTGTGTGAAAGCGTTTTGTACGGCCTGCCCCTGGTGGTCCGCCCCACCACCTGCTGGCAGCTGGACTGGGACGAGATGGAGAGCAACAGCAGCTTGTTTCAAGCTCTCTGCCACACACTCAGGGTGGGTGAACGAGTTTTACAGCCGCCTTGGACCTGACAGACGACACACTTCAGAGACAGAAACGCACATGTGGTAGTTCCCTGTTATTATTTTTATGACCCTCACCCACTCTTCTTCTTTGTTTTTATGGTTTCAAATGAGATTTATTTGGAAATTTTACCTAAATTTAAGGCAAGGGTTTTTCACAGTAGGGTAAGGCAAGACCCCTCCAATTTTGGGGTGTTGGGGTTCTTTGCCTCAGGTGGAGGAGTTCAAGAATCCGTCTCGTTCAGGAGTGACGGTACAGTAGGATGGAGCGGGAGATTGATAAGATTTATTGATCCCGCAGGAAATTGTTGTGCCAGAGTTTCAGTACAAAGGAACATAAACAATATATTAAAATAACAGAGAATATAAAAGTTCCAACAGTTCAGTTCTAAAACAGATAGAAACATTAAAGTGTTTATTGTGGTACAGTATTAATTGCATTGTCCTATGTGCAGAAAAGGGGAGCAGTTAAAAAGTTTGATAGCCACAGGGAGGAAGGACTTCCTGTGTTGTTCTGTGGAGCACCTCGGTGGTACAGTTGCATTCGGGCCCAAAAAATCAGATCCGTCCCGGCCCCAGCCCGTAGCCATCATTTCCGAACCCCACCTGCCCCAACAAATTCACAGTAATTACAGGTCCGAACCTGAAACCCCCACCCCCGACATTTTCAATTAAGCTTTGACTGCTTATATAGTTATTGACAGTCGATGGGCGTGCGCGGCTGAATAAGAGGGGCAGAAGATCGGAGCTGAGGGGGTGTTTGTGCTTTCATGGCCGTCAAAGCGCATTAAATCCCTGCTTCTACTTCTACATTACTCAGACTTGGACCGCTCTGACATGTCTTCTTTGGGATCTCACCTGTTAGCGTCGTCGGCCACACGCGTCCACTGAGCGCAGCGGCTGAATGAACGTCCATTTGGGCGATGGATCGCTTCCTGGCAGTAGTCCATCTGAAGCGTAACTGAACTTTATTTAACATCTTTCAAGGCCGGTCAGCTCGCGGAGAAATGGCCGTGTGAGGCTGGTGAATGTACGGCAAGCCACATTGCCATATAATTGGATAGAATGGCAAGCCATGTTGCCATATAATTGGATATTATGGCAAGCCATGTTGCCATATAATTGGATAGTATGGCAAGCCACATTGCCATATAATTGGATAGAATGGCAAGACATGTTGCCATATAATTGGATAGTATGGCAAGACGTGTTGCCATATAATTGGATAGTATGGCAAGACATGTTGCCATATAATTGAAAAGTTTGGCAAGTCATGTTGCCATATAATTGGATCATGGCTGATCCGCTGATGCAATCAAAAGCCCGGCCCAGCCCGCCCATCCAGCAAATTATTACGGCCCAGCCCGCTCCGAATTCAGGTCGGTCCGGGCTTCGGGCCCGGGTTAGACATGACAGCTTTACTCGGTGATCTCAGTCTACAACTGTGGCATGCAGGGGTGTGACGTGTTGTTCAGGATCTGGAGCAGTTCCCTCAGCGTCCTCTGCTCAGTCACCTCTGTCAGAAACTGCAGGTCCACTCCCAGAACTGAACCAGCTCTCTTGATGAGTTTATCGAGTCTGTTGGCATCAGCTTTCTTCACCCTGCTGCCCCAGCACACCACAGCGTAGAAGAAGACGCTGGAGACCACCGAGTGGTAAAACATCTGCAGCATGGTCCTGCAGGTGTTAAAGGACCTGAGTCTCCTCAGAATAAAAAGACGACTTAATTAAGAATTACACAAAGGAGTCCGAGAACAGGTAGGTCTCGGGAGGTTCACTGGAAACATCAAAAGGTACAGGTAAGTAAACTTAGGTCACTAGAAATATGACTGGCTAGAGGCATAAATCATTGGCGAGGTAATGCTCCAGTGTTGAAGATGAGTCATCATCTGCCTTTTATACGCTGGACATCTCATCAAGGAGATTGGTCATCTGGCGCCATCTAGTGACCTCAGGAAAGACGTGACTGGAACTCCCACAGTCTCCTAGACTCCTACCTTTGGAGGTTTTCTGGGCATGTCCCATTGATAAGAAACCCCAGGGCAGACCCAGAACTCGCTGGAGGGATCGTGTATCTTACCTGGTCTGGGAACACCTCAGAGTCCCCCAGGAGGAGCTGGAAAGTCCCATGAGAGAGCTTTGTCTGGGTTTCTCTCCTGGACTAGTTGCCTCCATGACAGGGCTAAGGTAGAAGATGGAGTTGAAGATCAGGCAATCCTCGTCATGATGAAGACCTCCTGTGGTTCTGAACTTTTCAGTTCTTAACTCACAAAACAACAGTAGAAACCCGTGAGTCTGTTACTGGTTATTAACTGGTTATTAACTGGTCATCCAGTTATGAACACAGTTACGTTTTTCTCTTTTAACTGTTATCAGCGTTGTGCAAGTTCACGCCTCACAAAAACTCAGATCACACAGATACAAACTAAAATGAGTCATGTTCACCGTTGTCTACGTAAATATCCTAGCATGTACCAGAATATGGCCTCGAATCAAATTATCATGAGATTAAATTACTGACCAAGCATTTGTTGAGGGGATACAGATGCTGGACTTTTAAACTAAAACTGCTTTTTATAGAAAAATTACAGATTTAATGACGTTTTGCTCTAATCCTGAAAATATTGTGACGTTATCAACGATTGCTCGAGTTATTACAAGATCACGTGATCTACGATTAAGATTATTGCTGGATTTATTTGTCCCACTTTCAGAGTCGAGACTTGTTCCTGCTGCTGAAGGTGGAGGCTGATAAGAGGTCCACATCTGGATCCTCAGGTCTGTGTGTGCAGAACTAAAACTAGATGTTGGTAGTTTGTCAGGTCTTGTGATTGTTCTTGTACACCCTGTACATGTGTGTGTGTGTGTGTGTGTTATAGGAGTGTGTTCTTACTACGTCCTCCAGTCGTCCCCGTCCCTCTCCCTCCTCCTGAAGCCTGTTGTCTCCAGGGAACTCCTGCTGCCTTGCTCACTGCCAGTCTCAGCTCAGGACCCTGCACCTCACGCCATGCAGACTGTTCAGGTTTGACATGTGTCTTTTTTTTATACAACAATCAGACAAAGACACGTACAGAAAGAGAAGCTCTAAACCTCCAGCTCCTCGTGGCTGCATTAAACCAAGATCTAATGGCTTCTACAGTATATTCAGTATAAAATATACTTGGTTTTAGATTTTGATTCAACTTGATAAAACTACAACACACATTATATTCATAGTTCTGTTTTAGCTTGTCATTTGTTTATTGTTGTCACTTAATTTAATTGTTGAAAACAACAAAGTCCATGCGCAATAATCCAGGTATACAATCCAACATTTTTCAGTCAGGAAACGTTTCAGCACAAAAAAAGAACCTGTCCAGAGGACCTGAGTGAAAAATGTTGGATTCATTTAATTGTGTTTAGTTTTTTTTCCAGTTCTTCATCGTTGTTACTCTCCGTGATCTCTGGATCCAACTCATTGCTCACCTGTCCCTCATTTACTGATCAGCCCAGCTGCACTCACTTTGCCATCACCCTGCCAGTTTATATTCTCCCAGTTTACCTTCATTAACAGTGCGTGTGTGTGTTCTCTGGTTTCTTTTGTTGTTTTCAAACAATTTATGACTCCTGGTTGCTGTGGGCTCCTGTTAGTTTTCAGTTTGTTTGCTTCCTTGTCAGCTTTTTTTTTTTTTTATGATCAGAGTTTTGTTTCTCAATCAGTGACTGCACTTTGGGTCCAAACCTCGATGATCCATGTTTGAAAGCACTCATGCCCACGTGGAATCTAATAAAAATCTAAATATTTGTTGGTCTTAAATCTTTTAGGAATGAATTTTGAACAGCAGAGATTATCGTAATATTTAGTAGGCTTGTGACAATAACACATTTTGCTGGACGATTAATTGTCTCCGAAATTATTGCGATAAATTATAATATTGTTAGAAATTTGACAATAATTAGTAATTATTGTCAAATTTAAGAAGAAATACGTTTGTTTTGCATGTAGTACCTTTTTTTGACCACCGGATGGCAGTATAAGACGGTCTGAACAGAAGGATGGACAGTGAGGGAGCGAGCAGCGTGTCTCTTTTAGAAATATGGCAGGGAGGCCCCTTGACGTGACATGGGCTGTCTCTCAAAATGGTGGACGCTCGGTGTGATTTGAGCTCTTTAGCATAACATTTTTCACACAAAGCTTTAAATAATAAACTAGTAAACAAGTTTTCAGCTTCTTTTTGCAGAGAAAAACAACTTTTTACACGAAGGCACGGGTTTCAACCGTGAATTTTGGAGTTGTGACATGAGGTCAATAATTTTCATTTATCATGTGTTTAATTGATTCATTGTTTATTGCAACAGGCCAAGTATTTAGAGGCAATCGGTCTTATTTAACTATTGCAACTCTTCACTTCTGCTAAAGTGGGGTTCGAATGAACAATAAATATCTTACCTGTTGTAGATATCTTTTTGAATTACCTTAATTTGGATAAATTAAGTTTAATTTTGAATCGGATTGACAAGCTAATGGTTAGTCACTGTGTTCCTGTTAACTTCTCTGTTGTTTACATAAAATTTTATGGTTATTTTTGACTAAATAAAGCATCAGCATTAGCATTAGCTGATGCTAATATGAAGATATTTATGCCTAAAAAATCTTGTAATACATCATTACAACATATAACATGAACTGTTGTTAAATTTTGCAACTAGAGTTATTTAAAGGCCTCAATAGTCCACTCGGACTAGCCATTAGCTCATCAATCTGGTCAGAAATAAACTGTGTCTCCAAACCAAAGCCTCTCACAGAGCTATCTACAGCAGGTAAGATAATAAATGTTTAACTTTCCCACAGAGCCTCACTTTAAATGATCAGGAGCATCACATTAGAGGATATTTTGCAGAACTGTGCTAATTCTCGTGTGTTTTCTGTCTGCTCCAGGGTTGTCTCTCTCAGATGGAGGAGGACTTTGTGCTGAACCCTCTTTTACTGAGCAGTAACCTGTACCAGCACCTCAGGAGCAGAGGCCTGCTGTCGCAGCCGCGATATCCGTACAGGTCAGATCAGTTTGTGCACCTCTTTCCAAACTGTCAGAGCTAAGACTTAGACAATGAGCCAACAAAAAGGTTCAAATGAAGATGAGCGCAGTGGAAATGATCAGATCAGGATTCTAGTTTTTGTGGTTTCAGGCTCCAGTCAGCAGCTGCCAACAGAGCGCAGCCTCAGACACTGCAGAGCCCTAAAAACGCAGTGAGCCGACCCCCACGGCAGGTAAACACAGCTCTGGAAAAGTCATTACCTGCTGCTCATCACCGCCACTTTATTTTTCAGTTCCTTATTTGCTCGCTAGATGGCAGCATGTACGAAGACAGTTCAGTGCTCTGCTGTCCAAAAATAAATGTCATGTAAGTTTATGTGCAATGTATCTAAAATCGTCTTCGCAACTTTCTCAACGGAGTTTGCAGAAACCTCCGCATAAAGAAAGGAGAGGTGTTTTTAGATGCAACTGTTGTTTCAATACGTCCTCCAAGGCTGGTTTAGGTAATCAAACTGTGTTTCTCAAGCTTTTTATTGTCATACTGGGAACTAGTTTCCAAGTGCATCTGCAAAAGATTAGTTGAATGGTTGTTTTAATGGGTAACATTTAAGGAATTGTTGTAGAAAAATGCAACAGAATAAGTGATTTTCTGACAAAAAAAATCCTCCAAGTTGTCTCCGTGTCCTCTCTGCCATTTACTGCCTAGTCTCAGTAAACCAGATACTGGTTCTAAAGTTAGACTTTTGCTTTGTTCATATCTAAAAGGACATCTTCATACTGTTTTTAAAATACTTTGTGGCTCTCAGTTTTGAACAAAAACACTAATAAGCTCATGCTGTGTCATTTGGTGGAGAGAACGTCCAAAATAACATTTTAGATGCTTAGTTTGGATATAAAAAAAAAAGATTTTAGCTCTTTTTTATGTATATATTTAAGTTTCTGAGCATCTTTTAACCATTTCAGCACATGATCAAAGGTTAACCCTCCGGAAAAATCTGCCACACATTTATTATTCTCTGGGGTTTTATATATTTTTATTTTACTGGTGTCAGTAAACACAACTACTTCCGACAAAGTTTAAAAATCCTTCTGTTTGTTTTATTTTATTTTGTCCGAATCTTTTGAAACCTCACAGGAACATTACTGCCCTCTAGTGTTCCTCAGAGGAAGAACTGACCGTATTGAAATCCTATTATAAATGCATTTTCCGATCCCATGTTTATCATATCATAAAATAATGTTTTTCTTTCAGTAATGTTTTTATTTTTATTTTACCTCTATCTCTATATTTTTGATTTTCATATTACCTCACTCAGTTACTGTATGTTTTGCTTTTTACATTTGTGAGCCTCTAAGAAATTCCAGAGACCATAATTTTTACAGTAACTGATAATAAATCTGACTAAAAATAAAAGCACACTTAAGATATGTGGGGGTGGAAGACCTGATTTTTGTTGATTCGTACCATTACTATCTTCCTGCTGTGTTCAAATATTCATTTTTATATGTTTACTGGTAATTAGTTTTCCTAACCTGGAAAATTTTATTGCAACCAGCGCAACAATACAAACAATTACAGTGCAACAATAAAGCCATTTATGACAAAAACACAAAACTTGGGAGAAAAATGTCAAAGTATATATGTACGAAACTATACAAAAATAAAACTAGTGATAATACAAAAGGGACAAGTTATACGAAAGAGCCATAAGTAACAAAAAATGGTAACCAAGGTACAAATATTCAGTTGGTAAAGTCTTAATGCATGAAGAGGATATTGTACTGACTTAAAGTTTAACTTTTTAATATACAGTAGTCCCTCACTTATCACTTATTGTTACATTCCACACACCCCCGCGATAGGTGAAAATCTGTAAAGTAGCAACATTGTATTTATTTTGGTATTTATATATATTTTAAGGCTTTATAAACCCTTCCCACACTCTTGCAATGTTCTAAACTCTTAAACCTGTGCAATTTTAACAACACATGTACTGTACAGTCCTGCAATGTTGTCTATGTGTACTCACGAGTGAAGATACTACAACTTGAAGGATGAGTTCAGCTTCAGGGTTATTTGAGACTTTCCTGCCAGTTCTGTGAGTTTAATAGATCGATCGTTACTTCTGACTTTGCGTTGCAAAACTATTTTTTACCACATCGGTTTCTCCGCTAGTGTTCGCTCCCTCCATTGCTTTTCTGTGAATTTCAGTAGAATGCAGCAGTCGGAAGCACTGTTGGCTTCTGGGCCGTGTAGTTCTTTTTATTTGCTTTACAGTGTAGGCTTATTGAAAGAAAACTACAAAACGGTGGCGCCTGTCAGAAGTTTTGTTTGTTTGTTTTGTTTTTGGTCATATTGGTCGATTCCCACTCCTGTCAGCTCCCGCTAACGTTTTATCTCATGCCGTCCCAATCACGAGTAATATTAAAGTTGACAATCGTGTATCGTGTACACTCTTACGTTGAAAACCCGCAAAACAGTGAGTCTGCGAGAGTCGAACCGCCAAGTCTCGAGGGACTACTTTATGTGAAGAGACTGGGTTCCCTTTATGAAACTCTACCTCTGTGGATGTGATGGTTAGCAAGAAATAAATTAAAATGCTTATTGTAGATGTAATTTGTTATTTTGTACCCAAAAACCACCATGATTGTGTGTCATAAGCAGATGTTTAAAATCCTCATCCCATCTGCACAAACTCTTGACTATAAAACTACAATATACTCCGGATTAGACTGGACATTATGGCTTCACTTGTTCACTACGCTGTTTTTATAAAATATCTTACTTTATTTCCACCAAACACTTCGGTTCCCAATACTGGTCCTTGAGGAACACCATCCTGCATGTTTTGTTTCTCTTCTCCAACACACCTGATTCAGTGCTTTAATTACTTCCTAAAGTTCAGCATAAGCCTGTTAATCACCCATTCATTCAAATCAGGTGTGTTGGAGGAGAGGAACAGCTAAAACATGCAGGGCGGTGTTCCTCAGGGACCAGGGTTAGGAACCACTGGTGTAGAGTAGAGGTGCATGTGCAGCAGAAAATGTTTATGTGGAAAGCAGTGAACTAAAAATGTGGTTAA